GAAGGCGCTGCAGGCTCGGGGAAGGAGACGCTGGGTAGCAAGGCCCACGGTTCCTTCCAATGCTAATTGTGTGTGTGTGGGAGGGAGGAACCCAGGTTCAGGTTCATTGCTAAATGCCGCGCTTTGAAGGGTACTCGTAATTGCTCAAAATGTTTTCTGATAAGTATCGTATAGCCCTCGCAAGTGGTCTTGACGCCCGAGCTCCCTGGTCTTTCTTCAGTGCTGAATAGCACTGTTCATTGAGATGCTTATGTCCGACTCTGAACCCTTCATACCAAGTTATATCGCTGCCAACAACCACCTCGTACCATCAAAATAGCTCTTGTATTTATCGTGCCACACATTCTCCCGATAAGCTCCTGCCAACAGTTGGTACGCCTTTTTACGCCAGAGGTCTTCTCTTCCCGCATCCCGTTGCGGAATACCAGAAACATTTCCCGTGCAGTACCTTACTCGTAATGTTTTGTCGACATGTGTGCATGCTCTGCAAACACCTGTATAGCTTATGATATGACTGCTGGAAATGTTGTTTGGAATACTTTAAAGTACTCGGAAGGCATTAAAATCAATGAAAATTTAATATTTATAGAGCCATCCATTTTTGATGTGTGTTATCATTTCAAATCCTTTCGTAGTACGTCTTATGGTTATTTTTGACGTTCAATGGTAAAACGTTATATAATTTCCAGGATTCATTTTCTTGATGTAATGTTATTTCGCGGCATTATTAAATAGTTAAACATCCGGGTACATATTGAATGTGAGTCACACTAATGAACTTTCTTCAACTAATGAACCATAATGCTACCATTCTTCTCACTAAAAATTTTAAGCCCCAGGGGGAGGGACAGAATCAGAGCTAGAGTTCCTTTCAGTCTGCGCCATTTCTCCTAAATCCGCTTTCAGACGTGACTTTTGTTAGGAAATCGCACGCACAAATTGATGAGATTCATTTCGAACGAAATGTCATTTGAATTCCCATTGTTTATATTTATCCGATACATGTATATCCAGCGCCAACGAACGATATTATAGTTTGGTTCAAATGAAGTAGGGCATTTTTTGCCGGCATGTTATATGAGCTCCAATTACGACTCGATGCACGGTTTTCATCTCTAATCAAACACCACATAGAGTTTCATTCGTTTCTGGATTTATGACCAAGGACAACGGGTTTAATGAAGATAGTGATCTATTACTGTTTTTTATGCTCTCCTGTAGCAATTACATAATTCGATAAAATAACGTGTAGGATTGTGCCACAGATGTTAATTTTAGATCTTTTAAATTAAATGTATTTAATTAAAAATGTATATTAAATTAAAAAATATTCTTTATTTGTACATTTTATTATTCAATTGTTGTAAAATTATATTAGCATAAAATGATGGCTCATTCAACGTACTTTATAAGAAATAAACCATACAGTAACATATAATAAATGACACAAAATATGATAAAAACAAAGTTGTCTGGGAATTGGAAAAAGACAATTTGTTATATTGGTATTATTACTAATATTATATTCATCACACATATATGTCTGTGACACCTCTAAAAACAGTTCCTCGCACTGTACTTGAGGCTTGTGCAGTCCTCAAATAAATAGAAGAAAGTTTCTATATCCAAATGACTTGAGTAATGGATTAGTATCAAAGCCACTGAACTATCGCCGGATCAATTCAGTCCTTAAATTTGCATCATTACACTGAAAGCAAATTCAAAGCATGTGATATTCCCATATCATCTTTAATTATCGCGTCTTTCTTTACAATATGGATCCACATATTGTGTGAGTAACGTAACACACTAATACTCGCATGTACTACATTACAAATTTCAGAACATTGGTTGAAATCTTAGAGCACGCCAGACTGTCGATAGATACCTGGAGAGGGAAACTTCCAGGATGCCGTTTAGGTCCGTACCGGATATCACCCATGAGATAAGAAGAACTCCACCAAACAAAACTTAGGGGAATAACAACCATAGCTGTTGACGCGAACGATCAATGAACGTGTCCGCGCGTGTCTGTTGCGCAGGTTTCCGTAGCCCTGGTGGCAGCCGCGACGCTGGCGGCGGCGGCTCCCGGCTTCAGCCACGGAGGCCTCGACGGCGGCCACTACGGCGGGGGCGGCGGCTACGCGCTGGGCGGCGGCGACGGCGGCGGCCACGACGCGGGCAGCTACGAGCCCATCCAGGAGCACGTGAACGTGTTCCACCGCGCGCAGGCGCCGCGCGTCAAGGTGGTGAAGGTGCCCGTGCCCACCCACATCCACGTGCCGCACCCCGTGCCCCAGCCCGTCGCCGTCCAGGTCCAAGTGCCCGTCTTCCAGAAGGTACGTTCTGTTTCGTGCGTGAGGGTAGCTGTGTGCGGGAGCGCCTTGGGTTGAAGAGGTTGTTATTGCTTTTGGCAGACGTTGAAAAACTTGAGCATCCTATTTCCACACTGTAACGGATCCAAAAGCGGAAAGGAGCCATGCCTGGATAACAGTTCCCTTACCTCGTTCTGAGATGTCTTCTTATGTCTCTCGTAAGGAATACGTTTCGGCTTTTTTTAATTCTGGGGTCCATTTAGAAGTGTGGCTATACGCCAACGAAATCTTTCACAGAATCTTAGGGGAAAATAAATGTTCCAATTTAATTATACTCATTATTATGTCGCTCGAGAACCAGAAATTATTTAAAGGGTGTCTATCTACTTCGTTATAAAGAAAAACCTCTGATATATTCAAAAATACTCAAAAAGAAAATAAATACCAGTTCTCTTTATTTAGTCACCGATGTCAAATGAGTCCCAAACGATGTAATTGGTGAGTTAACGTCTACAAAAATATAGCAACCGCTTGACGATCATCAATGTGAGCCAGGGCTTGTGTGTCCTGTTGGGACATGAGCCCAAAGTGACAGGGTCAAGTAACGAAAACACTAGAACAGAGAATGGGGCGGAGTTTTTTTACATGTAGGTTTTTTTTTACTTTCGTCATAAAAGAGGGGAAAACTCATCCAACGCGCCGGTGGAGAACTAATTGCGGTATCGAGAATCGATCTGGGTCGGTCGACGCGTCCTTCACTTGTTGACTGCAGCCAGCGGCGCGGCGCTGCCATCTGGTGGTTGTCGCCACACATACGCTCGCTGCTCGCTCGCCCAGTTTGCGACCGTGAAGAGCACAGTATGCTGACTCACGGATCTACACGCGCAAAAGTCTCATAAATTACTTCGAAATTATTTTTGACTGACATGATCATTGCTGCCTGAGTTTTGACAAAATGAGAACATAGTATGGTGACAAAACCGTTCAATTTTAAGTCCCCTCTCTCCTCGACTTTAGCTTACCATTCTTTTCGCCCTCATACTCGTGAAAACCAGAGATTCACCATTTCTCTCCAAAGATTGAAACCAGCTACTCATTGATTCTTTCCGATTGTCATTCTTTTAATTGAATAAAATAAATGTCTAACCTTTAAAAAGCTTTATTTATGAAGGGTACATGAATAGGTGATATTGAATTCGATATCATGAAATCTTGTTTACAATTTCTTAACTGATTTCAATAAAAGAGAGAAGATCACCTTGGAAACACCTAATCTTCATCACCTTGAAAAGTCGTCCAAAGAAGTGACACTTTACAATCGCTGAACCACGAACCAGGACATCGTAATATGATCCTCCTTTGGGCATCTTCCCCTCTGAATACAGTACCAATAATATCACCCTCTCAGCCAGAAAGAGAGAGAGAGAGAGAGAAAGAGAGGGGCAGGGGGCGGAGAGGCAGGGGTGGAGGTGCGAGGCAAGCACGATCGCGATGGCCCGATACTCGTTACGTATCGGAAGGCGTGATAAATTGCTGTGCGGACGCCGGCGCCTTTTCGACAGCGCAGGCTCCGCGCGGGGCACGGCGTGATGGGGGGTGGCGAGGGGAGAGGGGCGTGAAAGTGACCGCACAGGCGGGGAAGGCGCTGCGTGTGTGAAGAGAATAGGTTGCTGGGCTTGGAAGGAACTCAGAGGGTGGACAGAAAGACGATAAGATAGGAGGAGATGACGAGAGCAAATCTGGAGAATGGGAGGTAGTGACTGGGGAAGGTTGGGGAGTGATAGAGTAAGGATTGTTTGAGGAAGGGAATGGGAAGGCGAATGTGTGGACAGAAGTTTGGTAGTATAGAGCAGGGATGAAGGCGGGATAAATGGTTAGGCGCAGAGATCACAGATAGAGTAAAACAGGTTGAGGCAGGACAGACGCGGAATTGAGGGGAGAGGGGAGGACGAGCGAGTCGGGAGGGGTGGGGCGAGGTAGGTCGCGGTGCAGCGGAGCGACGCGGGGCAGTAGAGCGGGGAGGGCGGAGCGAGCGGGGCGAGGCCGCGCAGATGGCGTGGTGGGGCTGAGAGGGACGGGGAGAAGCGAGGCGAAGCTGGACGTCCAGACAACCCTCGACAGCTTTTGGCCGTAGGTGCGCCACAGCCAATGATTTATGGCGAACCCACATTGGCCGTTATTTTCGTCCGGGAGCAAAATATGTTTTGGTAATATACGCGGCCGTATCATCGTTCTTCGTCTGAACCTTGATCGGGCATAATGTATTTAAATTATGCTCTTGGGAATTTCAGCGTGGTGTGCACTGCCCATGAAGCTTTTTTTTAACATTTCAGCTGCGTTGCTTAAAGTCTTGATATACGTGAATCAATATCAGGAATATTTGGATATCCCGCAGATACACTAAATTTTAATTCACCGTAAATTGAAATTTATTTACGTTTCCTTCCCTTACTTGTTTTCTTTCGTCAGTAACATTCAGCCAAATGAAATTCCCGTATGTAAATATTGTCGTGGTGCACTTCGGGAAACGTAGAGTTCACTTCCAATAATGTCAAGAAACGAAAGAAAATTATAAACCGACCAAACGGAAATCATTGAAATTCTTCAATTCAACAAAGCTCTTACTCGTGGAAAGAAGGTAGTTCATTTTCGGAACAAATATTTATTTTCTGTTTTTTCAATTTCGTAAATGTGTTTAAGATGTGTGATAACGGAAAAGCAAACAGTCAAAAACAGGTAACAAATTAGACGGGCAAAGAACACTTTCAGTTCCTAAACGAGGCTATGACAAACTTCGTTTGGTATATTTATTGACTATTATTCAGTTAGTGAGGTACATTTTTGAAATAAAAATTGACAGCCATAAAGTTACAAAATTAAAGCTAGTTTTGATAGGCAAGAAAATTTTATATTGAAATATAAATTGATAAAATTTATAACCAATTATTGAGTTTTATTACACAAACAAAATGATTACGTAGCAACGAACAAACGAAGTCAAAAACCCATCCTGATAACTGTGAAATGTAAAACTAAACTGAAAAATATTTAACATTTAAAAATAAATCACAGGACTCATTAGAACAATTATGTGATCACATCTCTCACCTACTTTTTTATCTATTGAATACTTTATCCTCGCTGTTCATTTTTTTTTTTTTGCTAAATCGGAACCAAGTTTTCAGCCTTGAACAGCCTGTTTCACTATCAGCGTGTTGTTTAATCATCGCAGTGTATTTCCTCCATCTCACCCTGCTGTTTGTCCGCTGCTCACAGGAAATCATCAAGGTCCCCGTGGAAGTAGTCAAGACCATCCAAGTGCCCGTCGAGAAGCCCTACCACGTGGTCACCGAGAAGAAGGTGCCCATCGAGATCGAGAAGCCCTACCCGGTGACCGTTGAGAAGCCCGTGGAGGTGCCCGTGCCCAAGCCCTACGCGGTGCACGTGCCCATCTACAAGCACGTCTACCACCACATCAAATCCAGCCACGGCGGCCACGGCTGGCACTAGGCTGCCCCTTCGCGACTGCATCCGCACACCCTCATTAGAGAGCCGCTTGCGAGTTCAAGCTCTGGACGCCCTCTTTTGTATCGAGAACGGACTGCTCTCAACTTTCTCGCATCAGCTCAATGACGCCTTATCGACTCGTAGGCTGAGGTGCTGCACCGACCTCTGGACAGTCAAGTGTAATCTCAATCTTTAACAGCTCGGCAAAAATATTGCCGAGATTGAGTGTATTTTCGAGCGTAGATTGCTTGGAATCAACAAGCACAACACTTCTGATTCCTTTATTGGGTCTTATAAAAGAAATAGAGATGAAGATTCGTACCGCGAATATATTCAACTCTACTTTCAATTTTACGTCAAGAAGAACCGAGGACCAACGAGGAAGTTGAGAGCGTTTTTGCTCTCGAACAACTAGAGAGCGCACATAGCGGATTTCGCCCCGCTCTCTTACTCTCGCCCCGCATCGCCTCATCTGCACCATACTCACGTTGTTACTTGTACAGTCTGTTGTTCTTTGTGTTGTTGAATAGTCGTTTTGTAATAAAAATGCCTCTCCGCAGATCTATTGTGTCGTTTTTTTTCCCTTTCTGCTCGAAAACCTTTGTTGATTCGCAGCGTTAGTAGCACTTCATTTACTCCGCTGTTTGGATCACAATGCACTGTATAAAGTCTTCTGGGATTACAAAAAATTACAAACAGGCGCAGTATTGGGTCTGTAACGTAGTAAGCCCTGAAACCGCCAATAGTTCGTTGATAAAAGACCCATGTATACAGTACTCACATTAGGATCATTGAAATACAAACAATATATTTTACCTTCAATGGCAGAGACAAAACTGTGCATAGCCCATTCACATCCTAATTTTTGTCAGTATTCATTATCGTATCCATTAACAGAACATTAATGTAGAATTACTCTCAAAACAATTTTCCGTCAATAAAATAACAATGATCATCGGTGTATAAAACATTATTGTTCTGCGTAAATACAAAGTTTTAAGAACATATGCTTTAGAATGTGCTTTTGGTTGATTAAAACATTCATCTGGATATTTAAAATCGTCTTATTTGAAATATGCTTTAGTAAAATACTTATTTCCTTAGGCACATGAAAGGTACAATGTATTACTTAAAACAATGTGTAATTTTCTTACTTCTGTTCAGTAACTTACGAGCCTTTGGCATGCAGATTAATAGGAAATATATATTTGAATACGTCGAGAGACTATAACATTTACACGCTGAAAATACTAGATTCATTATTTCATCAAAAACATCTCTAATTGGATCAAAAGTTGTGAGAGCAGTAAGAAACAAAGCCCAATATAAAAAAATCAACCTCATTTCGCAAACCACAGAAATACCAGAAAATTGTAGGGGCTGCCTGTTCTGACCGGTAGTTTTCGTGGTTTCTCTGATCAACCCCAGGCGAATGCCGGAGCAATAACCTAAGAAACGGGCCACGGATCACACGCGATATTTTCTTCCCATTTCTTGTCTTATTCACTATCCTTACTTACACACACACACACACACACACTTACATGCACTGAACCAACATCCATATCGGGAGACTAATCACTAAGAAAACGGGAGTATCCTTAGAAACCTGCCGTGAACCTGCTTTGACCACCACTAATTCCATTCGGAACTGCTAGGGATCGAACCCGCGTACTAGTGGTGAAGTATAAGCAATCTGACCATTAAAACACGGGCCGTTCTCATGTTTCTCGTGTTTCATTACATATTTCAACTTCAACCACATATTTACCAATATGCTTCTGGTATTCTTTTCAATTCCGTCTACTCCGTATTAAACGCCATAGAGAATAAAACAATACATTTCACTCTTTGCGTTAAATCTACTCTTTAGTGTATTACCCCGCAAGTAAAATGTTTATTACCCGATTTTAAAGTTTTGAATATAGGGTTTGAAGAAATTTAGTGTTCTATTCCGAGAATGTCAAATAGTAGAAACAGTCACTGTTGGATGAACCGTGCAGGGGGAAAACATCTGGACATCGCAATCCTTCAGCATTTCTTTAGCTCTCTGTCTTTTTCTCTCTCGTTTAAGATTACCGCAGCTTCCAAATTAAATTTAGGATGACGAGAAACGCAACCGTCGTGGTTAAACAGAACGTTCCGATGAAAGTTGTTCCTCGTTTGTCTTATGTGGACTGATATCAAATTTTGAATTGCAATTGTGTCATTTCAATACCTACGTACAAAGGACGAACAGGGCGGATTGTGGAAAGAGAAGAGGATATGTCTACGTCACATCAGATGTAAGCTGCCAAAGGTTTTAAGCCGCATTTTACTATTAATATAATTATAAAAAAATATATCTTGATTCAGGCTAACAGGACAAATGATGAAATAACTAAGACAACTAATATTAGTAAATATTCGTACTGAAAAATGGAGATTATCAAATATAAATATAAATAGTATTAAGATTTTTTATATGATATATAGTATATAAGTAATATAATATATATATATATAGAGAGAGAGAGAGAGAGAGAGAGAGGGAGAGTTATTGTATTCTTTAATTGCCATATGCTTAAAAAATCCTAAAAACATGGATAATAAAATCATGGAAGAAACAAAAATAATCGGAAAAATGAACAAACAAAACAGCACAATGAGAACAGCGAACTGTGAAAAATTCGTTGTTATTAAAGGAGATCAACCCTACAAAATTGATGCATGATGTTCCAAAGACTCTAATATTTTTGACTAGTCTTTGCGAATAGAAATATAGGGATCTAGAAATTAAATTCTTTTATTTCCATTTTTTATAAGATTATTGTATATGATATTGTGATTATTTCGAATACTAATATATAGGGAATGAAGAAAGAGATATCAGTGCATTGAAAGACATACAATATTACCGGAATAAATAAAATCAGACAATTACTGCAATTTCAATATAATTTTTGTCCCTGACACTTCAATCCTTTTAGTTTCTCCTTATTCCTTCCACTTTTGTGAAACACTGTTTCCACGAATCGCGGCGGTGGAATCGTTTCGCATTTGTCTGTTGCTCTTCCCCATTCTCCAATGCTCCACCAACCGTAACGGACGGCGGACCCGACTCGATACAACAAAAGTGAAAAATCCCCTCTCATTTAGGCATCACCGCCACTGCTCCAATATTCATTAGTCGCTTGTTTACACAAAGTAACAATGTACTTCAATATTCATTTACGTTATGGTAAAATTTAAAAGCTCCCATTCAAATTCCTTCCCTGAAAATTAAAAAAAATACACACGGCAAACACAAAAACGCTTGGGAAGCTTAGACAAACATCTAAAGTCACTTTCAATTTGAATTGTAGCAAAGGGAAAGCAGAAAATAAACAGAAAACGGGCTTCCAGTTCTGACTCTCGCCTGCCATAGAGGCTGTGACCACCGCCCCTCAACCGTCTTCCCACCGCGGACGTGCTCCGATTAATATTGGCCATTCTCGAGCTGATGCCATATTCTAAAGGAGGAAAGAAAATATTGGGAAGATCCGTTGCTCGTAATTTGATAACTGAAGTAAATGAATTTTCGATATTGCAACCGGGCACCCAATTCCTCGCCGAGCCGGGGTCACTCGAGTCTTTCGAGTCCGCAACGCAGTCGCTAAATCGCAACCGTTTCTTTCCCCCCTCCGTCGACCTTCGGGCACTGGTACAATGACCTCCGCGCCACGGAGTATGTGCGTCCGCTACCCGCGAGCACATGAGAATGCACCCGACCCGTTCACCCACTACAGGTTGAGGTAGGTCGGTATCGCTGCAGAGTGGCGTGCACTAATTGTTCGTTCCCCACCCGTGACTGAGCACTGATCACGTTCGTTCACTATCTGAATGTTAAAAATAACTAAACATTCAATGCCCGTCAATTTACTTAACTATACGACCCCTATGTGGACTCGGGGTGTAGGTAAGGTTACTTGATTCTGATCAATTATTACATGGAGTTCCTGAATAGTACCTGAATAATACAACAGTAAATAGAACAAAACATAACACAATATTCAACAATTCACATAATATTTATTCATAAATGAGCGCAACCTTAGTGCTCACCCTTCAGTATTTTTACAGTTATAATTAAATCACAAAAGTTTGTATACTATCCCACTATGCAGGGCGGACTTTTCTTTCTAAAAATTTCCCACTAACCTATTCTTACTTAATGTATGACCGAGAGAAAAAGATTTCGTTTGAACATAAATTATTTTTAGCAACGATTTAATATTCCTATCATGTTTTTAATGCCAACAAAATTTCTATTCAAATATATGCCGTTAATTGCCAACATTAATTCAAAGAATGATTATCTAAATTACCTTTCCTATTTTCGAATTCAAGTAATTAACACACAAGTTTGTGAATAAGTCAGCTTCACTTATTTGCACCGTTACAAAAATCTTTCACTGTTTCTATAAATGATTAATTTTCCTTGAATTACTATAATGCATGATTTTCATTAGTTTTCACTGAAACTCAGAGAGGCTCATTTACATAAAACCCATGCTCTGTTCCACTAATCATCAAAAAACAATTTACACATTTGTTCCTACTAGTAAATGCACATGGCTAAAAAATGATTTCTTTCCCTGAATTTGTATAAATTGCATTAGTTTTGGACGACTGGTTACGTTATGTTAGCGCCTCCGTTTCCCCATTATCACAACATATTCATAAGCTTACGACGCATCACAAAGTGGTTTGTGAAACGTCCGGTACACAATCCGACAAAACAGAATTCGGTAGGCGTATCGTTGTGTGAGAAAGTTTAGAGGATAACTAACGAGAATAATTCTGCAAAGTTTCTAATAGTTATCTTATAGTTATAAGTGGTATTTACATGTTTCAGTCTATAACTCAATTTTAATCCAATATCTGCTCCTGAGCCCCGCAATTCAAATACTATCTACATCGAAACAAATGAAGTATTGATGAAAGGTCACGTGTTCTGATCCCGGAGGCCAAATTAGCCTGATGCTCTGTTTAGAATTCGGCGCAGTGCCCCGTCCCAAAACCAGGCCGTGTCCGGCCGCCCCCGCAGCTCCGGGCCTGTGACGCAGGCGGCTGTGCCACGCCCACGCGGAGGCTCCGTCAATCGGGTGAATGGGGAAACTGTTTCACGCTCGCTTTTGCGCATCTCCCGAATTCTCGCCCCCACACTTTTCCCCTCGTTTCTAATTCTCTCGGCTGCTGTCAATCTGGTTCTCGTTGCCGCGAGATTGATTATTTCGTGTTCGCGACCACATCAACTACTATGGTCGTTATGTCTGTGTAGTGAGTGTTTAGCAAGGCACAGCGCGGTACACTTCCTCCCCTGGATGGTGAGATCCATCGCCGACCTACATGTTACCTTCCTGGGTTATCCCCATTCTAGTAACTCACCTATGCGGAGCGGTACAGTCGGGACTAGCTCTGGTCTCCCGATATGTGCGTTAATCTAGAGCATATGTGTGTGTAAGGGGTGACAATAAGACAAGGAAGAGGAAGGAAAAATGGCGCTTGGTTGTTCTTTCGTTTGTTAGGAGACTGCTTCGGCGTTCACTTGGTGTTGATCGAAGAAACCACGGAAAACTACCGATCATAGTAGTCGGCAGCTAGAAGTCTTCTCCAAACGGCAGATGAATCTAACATAGGTAATTAGCTTGCATCAAAAATCCTGCCACCATCGCGACTTGAACTCAGGATCTCCCGGTGAGAGGCACTGACGTGTTCAAGTGAAGCCTCTAAGCAATCTCAACCGATCCATTTCATCTCTGATATCTCACTCTTTCACAGTTCGCGCTCTCCTTATCCATTCATTCTCACTTTCATTTCACATTGGTTCTATTCCGTCCCCTCGAGATTGTTCTCATTGTCATTCTCATTCTCGCATCATTATTTTTCTTCTCGCCCTTAAACATCCCGATTATACTATCTTTCTCTACTCTCAAACTTGCCCTAGTGTATCACCGTACGTATCTCGATTGCATACAGTGGTCCACGTTTCCTAAGCCTTGTATCTAACTCTCCAAAATGGTATAATCCAATTGCATTCCGTTAGATTTATCTTGTGCGCACACATAAGAGTCTGTTCAGGTATCACTGCTTTCAAGATCGTATTGCACTTGTCACACAGGAAAAGTAAGAGATGGTTAAACCTTTTTTTTAGAAGTATACTGTATGGAATATGTTTAATTAATTGAAGATGATTTGTATGCATTGCAAAGCCTGTTCCGAAGAAAGGGTTGGCCCTTAAAGTATGCAAAATCAAAATAACTATCACTTACATAAATTACACAGTTCTGATGATTCGGCCATGCTCACCTGCATTTGAGGGTTTACCGCAGCAGTTGAGAGAACATCTGCTTGCGTTACTCATGAATCGAAATTAATTCCTCCTTCCCCCTCCTGACACACCGACTGGAATGAAATCGGGCTATATTTACTCAAGTATCCAGAAGAGAAATGATAATAATTGGGAAGCGAATGTGAGGGAAACCTGACTGAGGGATGCAATTGGACAATTCCTTTTCCAATCGGGGCATTCTCCTCCTTCATTCTTAACTTCTTCTTTCCGCCTCCTATGTTCTTTCTCTTCCTTTCTCCCCTTCTCCTCATTCATTCCCTTCTTCCCCTCCATCCGCTGCAGTCCACTCATCATCGTTTTCCTCATCGCTTAATAGCCATCCCCCTCTCAGCTCTACATTCATCTCTACCTCAATTCTATCTCCGTTCTATTTTAAACTTATTTATTGAATCTCTGAAAATTACACAGTTATTTTATGCGTTATAATGTCTTACATTATAATTCATACTAAACTTAACACTTATCTGCATTACTCTTCTTGTAGGAAACTACAAGATGTTACTACACATATAACTTCAAATACTTAAGAAGGCTTCGAAAGGGAATGTGTTTTTGATTCTAGGTGGGGCGACATTTAATGAGACCTCGATGCCGTGGACGTTTGGTTTATTGCTAGTTAAAATGCGGTCACTAAGGAAGATAAATTATTGAAAAGGTGTGTGATATTTTTAAAGATTCAGCTCTTTATGAAGCTGGGTGTTTGAGATGAACCGTGGGGCATGTTGTCCGTTCCCGGTCTCCTAGGGGTAGAATTCTAGGGCGCTGTATAAATGTTAGCGTATCACTCAATTACGTCCTTATCATCCAAGACCTCGTGTAATTACCGGTAAATTATCATCGACATCTCTCACTCGAGGAGTTTGTATCAACTAAGTCTACCATTTACACATTATGATATCTAGAAGTCTTAATTTCATTGAACAGAAGTTCTACAAATATTTAGAGTAAAACATTTTGTCAGAAAAATTATTCACAGGTAAAGCGTTTTATGGGAAACAAAATATATAATAATAACAACAATAATAATATCAACGAATAATTTCAATTATTTTCAATATCACAAACAAGTACATATGGAGTGAATGACGCATTAAATAACGCATGTTGAATTGACGCATTAAATTCAGACAATGTCCCAAAGAATGGTAGTTTTCACAGTCCCTCCACAGACACATTACGAAATAATACCGAACTGACAAATTGATTGATTGTTAGTGGTTCCGGGCACGTCAATTACTAGGGTCATTAGTTCCGTAAGTCCAGAGCCTGTTTTTTGCATGGGAGATGGCGGTGCTCTTTCCTCTCTGTACGGTGAGATCCGGCGCCGACCTACCGTCGCCTAGAGGGGTTTTCCCCAGCCACGTATCTCCTACTAGCAGGGCACTGTCCCAGTCAGAGCAAGCTCCAAGCTGCCGACCCAACTCCTCGCATGTGTGGTCGTGTACTGCATATTAATGTAAGTGTATGAAAGGGGGTGAGAACAGGACAAGGAAGAGAAACGAAGAACTGCGCGCGGGCCGTTGCCCGTTTGTAAGGGTATTGCTCTGGCATTCGCCTGCTATTGGTAGGAGAAACAGCGGAGTCAGTAAAGTCCTATTCAAGGAATTTAATTTTACCGTTTTATTACTAATGCTAGAAATACATATCAAGAATAGATGTAAAACCTAATAATAAAAATAATTTTAAAATGCTTCATCTTTTTATGAATAATCATAATTCGCACAATAAAATGTTTATACAACATGAAAAGATATTTATTATAATTTTTTCTACTGCAGATTAACGGTATTCGAATTTACCCATGAAGTGATAATATTACTGGAACTTGGCCATTTTGACAAAACGAAATACCACAATCGCATTCAGAATAGATATTCAGAATGTAAAACAATTGCATTACATCTTTATAGACATTGAGATAAAACCAACCGACACTCCAGAAAAAAGTACCATCCGACTGTACTCTTTTATACTATTTGCTTCTGAGGCAAAACGCTGAAGTGACTTTTACAACCCGGCAGAAAGCGAGAAAGCCGAGTGGGATGACAAGGGGAAGAAAGGTTGGAGCAGAGCGGCGCTAGCTCCATTTCAGAAAGGATAAAAGAATGAAGACAATGATTTCACTTTCAGTAACCCAGAAAGGGGAGCTCAAGTGGATATGCGGCACCGTCTGGCGGACTTGCGAAATGCACGGGCGCCGGCGCTTGCGGGAGAAATGGCCCGAGAGACAGAGTGTACGGAAAAGGATGATGGGAATAGAGACGGTACAAACGTACGGAAAGCACAGGAAAGAAAAGGGAAGAAATGTGGAGAAGAACGCAGTATTAAAGGTCATGAAATATTAGGATCACAGAAAAAAAAAGCAAGAGAGACTTGCTGTTTTGAAGGGTGTTTGTGGAATGATGTCTGGAGCAATGAACAGACAGAGATACACGATTAACTGCATAGCCCTACATTGTAAGTAAAACTCTTGACGAGGTTAATGCTAGTGAGTGGTTTCAGAAAGATGTGTGGGTGAAAAAACCTCGAAAATGTCTGCCAAAAAGGGGATGAAAGAGGGCGAGAGCGAGAGAGAGAAAGAGAGAGAGACTGGTGTAAGAGGGGGAAAATGGGGGTTTCAATATAAAACGGAGTGACGGTGATGGCGTAAGTGATGATACGGGAGAGCGAGTAAGGCCGATCGAAACTGATGGCTGAAGCGACAGCGGGAGATGAGGGAGAAGAGCGATGTCAGTGAAGTTAAAAAGGAGACATGCTGATGATGAAGTTTAAGGGACGAATGACGGGTAAGAGGAGCAATGAAATGGTCGGCGTTAGCGAGAAGAATTGCGATTCATAGAACAGATTCAAAATGGGAGAGGACACAATGAGAGGTGGAGACAGTTCGTGATCTAAGTAGACCAGAGCGAGAGCAATAGGGAGAGAATTAATTAGTGAGTGAGTGAGTTAAGAGAGAAAAAGAGATGGAAAAAAGGAGAGAAAAAGAGAGAAAAGAAGCGAGAAAAGGAGCGAGAAAAGAACCGAGAAAAGGAGCGAGAAAGAGCGAGAAAGAGAGAGAGAGACCAAGAGAGAAGGGAATAGTGAGAAAGAGAGGAGAGAGAGAGAGAGATGAGAGCGAAGAAGAGGACAGGTTAAGGAGTCTTGGGACATGTGGAAGAGCAATGACGTGGAGGGGAGGAAGAATAGTCGAGAGAATGGTATGATGAGGGGCTGAGGCGGACTGGACAGTGGGGGAAGGAAGGAGGCGGGAGCGGGAGCGAGGGAGCGATGCATGGCTAGGCATGAGCAGGGGGTGGGCGGGGCGGGCGGGCGGGGCGGGCGGGGCGGGGGTTAGCGAGCGCAGTCTTATTCCCGAGGGAGCTTCGCAATTAAGCGCGTGCATAAAGGCGGTGTGAGGCGCCCACAAATCACGTCCCCAGGGCAGAGCCAGCCTCAGACCAAGGCTGGCAGGGCGCGTCCGCTAAGCGCCCGCGGTTAAAAGGGGAAGCGGCCACGCCCACATCAACCCACCCATTCAACCCGCGAGCGGGCAGGGCGAAGGCGGGGAGCAACCCCCGCCC